GAGATGGAGGAGAAATATTACTATGGCATTAGCAATATGGTCGTGCGCGGCTCGTGCTCTTGCTATGGCCACGCCTCACAATGCCTGCCACTGGCCGGCACTGAGTCACCGGAATACGATATGGTGCATGGACGCTGCCAGTGTACGCACAACACCAAGGGTTTGAATTGCGAGACTTGCGAGGACTTCTTCAACGATCTGCCCTGGAAGCCGGCGTTCGGCAAGCAGACTAATGCCTGCAAGAAGTGCGATTGTAACGATCACGCTGTGAGCTGTCATTTCGATGAGAATGTCTTCGAGCAATCCGGCCGCATTTCGGGCGGAGTGTGCGACAATTGCATGCACAATACACAGGGTCAGCACTGCGAGGAGTGTATGCCTTTCTTCTATCGCGATCCCGAGCAGGACATACGCAGCCCGGAGGTGTGCAAGCCTTGCAATTGCGATTTGAACGGTTCGGTGGATGAAGGCATTTGCGATTCAGTGAACGATCCCGAAAATGGCATCGAGGCTGGCGCTTGTCACTGCAAGTCGAATGTGAAGGGACGCCGTTGCGATGTGTGCAAGGATGGATTCTGGAATCTGATACCCGAAAACCCAGCTGGTTGTGAACAATGCACGTGCAACACGCTCGGCGCCATCGACAATTCGGGCTGCAACATGTACGCCGGTGAGTGTACGTGCAAGCGCTTGGTTACCGGCAAGGACTGCAATCAATGCGCGCCACAAACGTATGGTCTCTCTGAGTCGGAGGATGGCTGCACGCACTGCGGTTGCGATGTTGGCGGCTCATACGACAACTTCTGCGACGTTATAACGGGTCAGTGTCGCTGTCGCACGCACATGACTGGTCGCAATTGCTCTCAGCCGAAACAGAACTACTTCATACCACCGCTCTATGTGGTGCACGATGTAGAGACCGCGGATGTGTGCATATCTCGCGGCAATAACGGCAATTGCACTGTTGTGCCATATCCACCACTGCCCGATCGCACACCCGACTACACTGGTGTTGGATTCACGCGTGCGCCGGAAAATTCCGAATTCATCATAACCGTCGATGACATACCAAGCTCCATGCCCTACGATGTGGTGATACGTTACCAAACCACTTCGCGCGATGACTGGGAGGATGCTTACATAACACTTGTGCGTTTGGACGAAGTAGACCCGGAGGGCGTCTGCGCGCAGGCTGTACAACCCGGTTCGAGTGTTTACGAGACGCATATACCCTTCAGTTTGCCCGAACGTGACCGTCAGGTAGTGGCGCTGCGCAATGTTTGCCTGGAAGCCAATAAGGTATACAAGTTCAAGATACATTTTGAACGCCGACGACACAACGAAGAGAATCCCACCGCTACCATTCTGATCGACTCACTAACGCTAATACCACGCATCGAAGTGACTTCGGTCTTCTCGGGCTCGCCCGCTGCGGACTTGCGTCGCCGCGAATACATACAAATGGGCTGCAATCAGTCGCTTTATGACATACGCTACAGCAGCGTCGTGGACCCACGTTGCAATGAGTTAGCGGACTATGCGAGCACGGAAATACACGATGGTGCCAGCCAGTGTAACTGCAACCCTACAGGCGCGCTAAGTAAGGAATGTGACCCACGTGGTGGCTTCTGCCAATGTAAATCGAATGTGGTGGGACGTCAGTGTGATCAGTGCGCGCCAGGCACTTATGGCTTCGGCCCGGAAGGCTGTAAGGCTTGCGACTGCAACAGCATTGGTTCGAAGGACAACAACTGTGACCTGGTCACGGGTCAGTGCGCCTGTCATCCTAACACATACGGACGTGAGTGCGATCAGTGCCAGCCGGGCTATTGGAACTTCCCCAATTGTCAGGCGTGCGAGTGTAATGGACATGCGCAGCAATGTGACGCACGCACTGGTCAATGTATCAACTGTTTGGACTTCACCAGCGGATATGCGTGTGACAGCTGCTTGGAAGGCTTCTACGGTAATCCCTTTTTGGGTAGTGAAATCGGGTGTCGCGCTTGTCGCTGCCCCGACACTGTGGCCAGCGGTAATACACATGCCGACGGCTGCTCATTGGATACGCGCAACAACAATATGATCTGTCACTGCAAGAAGGGCTACGATGGTGCACGTTGTGAGGTGTGCGCAGACAATTACTTCGGTGATGCCGAGACGCCAGGTGGCGCGTGCGAAAAATGCGGCTGCAGCAACAACATCGATCTCTACGACACAGAGAATTGCGAACGACGCACAGGCCAGTGCTTGAAGTGTATGTACGATACGACCGGTGATCATTGCGAGCTTTGTCGCGATGGCTTCTTTGGCGATGCGCTGCAACAAAATTGCGTGCCATGTTATTGTGATTACTTGGGCACTAACCAGACCATTGCGCATTGCGACCGGTTCACCGGTCAGTGTCCATGCTTACCCAATGTGCATGGCATACGTTGCGATGAATGTGCGGCCAATCATTGGAAGATCGCTTCAGGCGAAGGCTGTGAGGCGTGCGAATGTGACCCGATTGGTTCATCGTCCGAACAATGTAACCGTTACACCGGGCAGTGTGAGTGCAAAGATGGCTTCGGTGGACGCGCGTGTAATCAATGTCAAGCGAAATACTGGGGCAATCCGAATAGGGAGTGCCAGCCTTGCGAGTGCGATCCCTACGTGTCGGCTGACTACCAGTGCGATCGCGAGACGGGACAGTGCGTGTGCCACGAAGGCATGGGCGGCTACAAGTGCAATGAATGTGCGCGCGGTTATCAAGGACGCTTCCCACATTGTGCGCCTTGCGGCGAATGCTTCAACAATTGGGATTTGATACTGTATGGACTGGAAGACGCCACGGCCGAGGCCATACAACGCGCCAAGGATATCAAATTGATTGGCGCAACCGGCGCATATACGGCTGAATTTAGTACTTTGGACAAGAAGCTGCAAAATATACGCAATCTGCTGCAGAACACTACCGTTAGCTTGCAGGACATCGACGCGTTGGATAAGGAAGGCGCTGAGCTGAAGGAGAAACTGCAGGCTTCGCATACCAAATTAGTGGACACTGAAGACAATTTGGAGAACATTTATTCTTCGTTGAGTCTGTCCACTGTGCAGTTGGAAGCTTTGCGTAATCAATCTGAGCTCGTGAATAAATTATCAAAAGAGCTGAAAGAGAATGGCATACAGCTGCAAGAGTCCAACATCGAAGGCGCACTCAATTTGACGCGTAACGCCTTTGAGCGTGTGCTCAACCTGTCTGCAGTGAAGAATGAGGCCGAGGATTATGCTGCCAACACCGAGCGCAACTGCAAGCGCGTCGAAACGCTGGAAAACAAGATCAAGGATGAGCACGACACGATCACGGCCAACGATGGCATCATTGCTGACTACCGCAGTGAACTGACGTCCCTTACCGCTCTGATACCCGGTTTGAATAACGAAGTGTGCGACAAGAGCGGCGATCCATGCGACTCGTTGTGTGGCGGTGCTGGTTGTGGCTCCTGTGGTGGGCTATCTTGCGAGCAAGGTGCATTGACACGCACCGAGAAGGCGCTCAAAGTGGCCAAAGACACTGAGCAAATAATCAAAGACAAGAAAGACGCCGCCGATCAAACTATACGTTCGCTCTTCCAGGCTAAAGTCAATGCCTCCGAGGGTTATCTCAAGGCCAAGAGCGCTTTCGAAGATGCCGAACGTTACTTCAACCGCACCAATGACAAAATTAAGAAGGGCGAGGCAATGATTGAACAGCTCGGCAGCTTCCTTAACAACAACACTGCATTGTCGACGGAGAGTCGTGACCTAGCACAGCAAACACTCAAGCTCGACCTCAAATTAGATCCCGAAGAGATACAAATGCTGGGCGGCAAAATCAATGACGCTGTTTCTTCACTCAAAAACGTTGAATTGATTATTTATAATACGCGTGGCGATCTTGCGCGCGTCAACAATCTGCAGGCAAAAGCGAATACGACCAAAAAAACTGCAAACGAAATACTAGATACTGCCAATTCGGTGGTGAAGAATCTGGACGATGCAGATGCTTCGCAACTGAAGGCCAAAGATGCCATATCACAAGCTAATGTCAATATTGAACTAGCGGCCAAGGATTTGGATCAAATCGATTTAGAGACGAGTGATGCTGAGGCGCCTGCCAATGCCACTGCACAGCAAGTGGAGTATCTGGCCAAGCAAGCCAGTCGCATAAACAAGAATTTGCTGAAGAACGAATTAGATGCACAGGAAATCAAGAAGGAAGCAAATGCCGTAAAGGAGGCCGCACTCAAGGCGCGCGAATACTCCAATCAATTGCACTCCGCCACCAATTTGGTCAATCAAACGCTTAGCGATCGCGCGCGTAAATCGGAAAGTGCACGCGAACGTGCCAAGCAGCTGTTGCAACGCGCTTCCAAACTGACAGTGGACACAAACGATAAGTTAGGCCAACTGCAGCTGATGCAAGATATATACGCTGAAAACAATAGCACTTTGCAAAAACTGCAAGACGATTTGAAGCCTTTAAACGAAGAGCTGACTTTGTCGCTGCAAAAGATACAGGAGCACGCCGATCGCTATCGACAATGTACGGGCTAAGGTGAGCGAGCGTGCAGTTAGTTGGTAGCAAAAGCAGTAATGTTGCAACTTAGCATTTATACTTAAACAATAGCCTTTGATAACTGCAATAAGGCCAAATGCCTATTAAAGCCCTTTGAAAAGCACAAACCAAAAATGTTCACTCCAAAGCCAGTGCCAGTGTTAAGTGCTCAGTATATCAGCTGCGGCTCGACAAAACAAAATTTTAATTGTAATTGTTTTTATCTTCTTCCTGTTCTATTTGTAACATGCTGAAATCAGGGCTGCACATTAACGTTAATTTTATCAATAAACGAAAATTCAAAATCGTTTTGGTTTTTTACATCGATAATGTTAACATTATGTGTTTATCAAAAAAATTCGTTTTGTTAATTATCAGAAAAATATGTCAACAAAAAATTTTGTTTCGTTCATTATCAAAAAAAATATCAAAAAAGGAAAATTTTTCTGCCGCAAACATAAAATTTAATAAACAGGCAAATTTTATTATTTGAAGCAATTGCGGGAATAATGGGTCGTAAAAAAGTAGGCGAATTAGTCCGATCGTGCTTTTTAGTTGGAGAGGGGTTATTTGTGTGCAAATTTTGCCAAACGAAATTAACAAGCGATCACTTGGGAAATTTCAAAAGCCATTTGATCAGAAGACATAAGGAAGCCTTTGGAAGGCTTCAGGACGAGCAAGTGCAGCAGCAACAAGTACAGCAAAGCGAAAATGCTGACGACCCAGCAAGAAAAAAAATTAAAATTGAGCTTGAGCTAAGTGAAAACGACGTGCAAGATATTTGCGCGGGTTTCGTTACGGAATGCGGTGTAGCCTTAAGATTTTTTAATACCAACACTTTTCAAAAGTTATTTACGCCAATATGTCGACAATTAAGTTTGCACAAAATGACCCGTAATAATATAGGGGAGATTTTAATGCAAAAACATACAACTGAAGTAAACAATTTAAAAACAACACTAAAAAATCGCATAATATCTATAAAAATTGACAGTGCCCAGCGGCTTTTTCGTAACGTGGTATGCTTAAATGCGCAATATTTACTAAATGGAGAAATTACCATAAAAACGTTGGCAGTAAATAATTTTCGTGAAAAACACACCGCAAGAAACCTAAAAGAACTAATTTTGAAAAGTCTAGAAAGGTATGTGTCAATAATTACTTGATATTAAAGATAGCAAAGCGTTTTTTGTAGCATTAGCGTTTTCTAATTTTAAAATTAATGTACATACATACATACTTAATTACTTATCTAACTTTTGTTGAAAATTCAACATTCAAAGTTTATTTACTTATTACTTTAACTTAATAAATTTCAATAGATATGATATCACAATTAGTCAAGTGTACAGTATCACAAGTGATAACGGCAGCAACATGGTCAGCTGCGGAAACCTCCTGCAACACGAAAGTAAGGAAGTAGAAATGCCTTTACTAAATCCATCAGAAGATGTCGACGATGCCTTTTTTGAAAGTTTCGAAACCATTTTTGAAGATCTAGAATTCGACACTTGTGTTTCGCAAAATTTTCGTAAGCAATTAAATAATAATAATAGTAGCAATAAAACTAGTTTACAGTACTATAAAAAAAGAATAAAAATGAAATAATATTAAATTAAAAAATAATAGAAAAAAAAACCAAACAAACAAATTAAATTAAAAAAATAAAATATCAATCCTAATAAAAAAAAAAATAAATAAAAAAATATTAAAACCAAATATAGATAATTAAGAAAAAATAATAATTGTAGTAAAATATATAATAATAATATAAAAAAACAAAGTACAATTAAATTAAAAAAAGTAAAATAAAATAATAGTAAAAATACAATAAAATAAAAAAAATAATTAAGTAAAATCAAATAAAACAAAACAAAACAAAATAAAATACAATAAAATAAAATGAAATATATATGTATATAAATCAAATAATTTTCTTAAACTGTAGGCTAGTGTTATAACAGCTATATTAATAATAGTATTGTGTACATTACATAATTTTTTTTTTAGAGTCAATTGTAGTTATACGATGTGCCGCGCATACCATACAGCTAAGCGTAAACGACGTTTTTAAAAATGAAGAAATTAAAAACTGTTTTAGAGAATGCCGCAATGTAGTGCGAAAGCTGCGTACGCCAGCAATGCACAGACTCATATCGTCACAAAATTTATTGCCTCCCACAGCTGATTGTCCAACTCGTTGGTCTTACTCGTATGAGTTACTTAAACGGTTGAGAAACTTAGACACATTAATCTCAGAAAATATGAAAGAAGCCAATATTGACTGGTCCGTAAAATTGCAAGAAAAAAATTTGCTATTTGGAGACTTCATTAAAACCTATTTGGAAATGATTCTTGTTGTAAAGAAAGAAGCGGACAAATATCACATTTCCAAACTTTTGTTGCAGTCTTTAAACCAGAGGAAAGATAACTTGCTCCAAAACCCAACCGTGGCGGCAGCAATCTATCTTGATCCGCGACTGAGACGGTTACTCCACAGTCCAGAATTCGCACCTTTAAAATCAGTTGCAGTAGCGCATTTGAAGGCTCTCTACTTAAAAATTCATGGAAATGACAACAATGTATGTACATATATATGTTTGATCTCTATGATTTGAAATATAAAGATACAATTGCAAGTATTCTGACATCTTTTTGCAGACGCAAGAGCCTGCTGCTAATTCAAGTAGTGAAGTAAATGAAGACAGTGACAATTTGCTTGGCACACTACTAAACCAAATCTCCCAATACGAACCAAGAAGCGAAAATACCACAGAGGCATTTTCAATCATAGAAGCATTCAATGAAAATTGCGATTTGAAGGCCAATTTAGCAGACTATTGGGAGTCAAAAAAATTTACTCACAGTACCTTGTACCAGCTATACAAAATTATTCATGCAACTCCCGCTACGCAAGTTAGTGTAGAGCGGGCGTTCTCCACTTTAAAATATATAATTAATGGCTATAGGTCAGGTTTGAGTGATGATATCACTGAAGCGATATTAATGTTACGGCTCAATTAGTTTTCGCATAATTTCTTAACAGCGTTTTGTTTACTATTTGTTAATTATTTAATAAAAAGAAATCCCATAATGCTACGTACTCCTACATAAATTTTGCTTACAATTTTCTTCTTAAATAATGAAACAAAAAAACTATTGATATTTCCTTTTTGATAATCAACGAAACGAAATTTTTTTCGTTAACATTTTTTGTTAACTAACGAAACTATTTTTATTTTCATATTTTGTTTATTCATAATAAGCAAATGAAATTTTTTGATAAGTTGTTTTTTTAATAAATAAGCAGCCCTGGCTGAAATTTGTACTGTAAACCGTTTGGATGAACAAAATATTAATTTTAATTTTAATTAAAGAAGGTAAAAAATCATAAATGAAAGCTAAACGTGTTTGTTGTAAGAAAATGTTATGTTTAAAATTTTAAAAAAAGTATATTTAACTGTATGTTTTAGTTTATTTAAAGCCAACTCTATGAAATAGCAAACAATATGAAAAATTTTAGCAATACGACTATCAAGCGTTTCTAGTAGAAATTGCTGTTAATTTACATACATAAACACATACATATGCACACACATACAAACATATGCAACCAATAGAAAACGAATATTATCTCGAAATTATTAAGCAAAGAAACAAATACATATGTGCCTTAATAACATTAAAGAAAAACAATTTGAGATTGAATTCTCTACTAAAGATTTTGTTGTAATAACTATGTAAGTGTAATTTTTATATTAATGTATTGAGCCAATAAAAGTGTTGAAAAATAAATTGAAATTTTATTTGTTATGCAAATTATTTGATAGTGGGCATTAATAACCGGACATCTTGGCCATACGTCGTCCCAATTGATTGCTTACCGTAATCGGTCCAATCAGGGCTCCACTGCCCTGCCTGAGAAGTAATTTCATTAACACAATTCGCAGTTACCACGAGTCTAAATACTGAATGCCGTCATCTGAAATGCAAAAACTCGTCACTAATCAAAATTTAAAAATTCACTTTTTGATTGATATTCAAAAAAAAAAAAATTAGTTACGCCTTTTTGCATTTCAGGTGTTGATACATAAATAGGTTAAGTAAGAAATTAAACATTGATTTCATTTCGTGTTTTTCATTTTGTTGGAACCAATACACGACTTTTCATGAGCACTTCGAGAATAGTTATAAAGAATTTCAGAATCATTTCTTGACTAGTTTCTAACTAGCCTGAAATTATCCCGAACTAGGCTCAAAATTATCCTAAAGTAGCTCTGAAGTGGTTCTGAAAATATCGTGCACTTGTCCCGAATGGATCTCGAACCAGTCTTGGAAAGGTCCCGAAATGGCCCCTTACTAGAAATAGTCCTCAACCAGTCCCGAAATGAACCCGAACTAGTCCTGAAATAGCCTCAAATGGTGAAGAACTAAGCCCTGAGATGGCCCTGAAATAGTTCTGAATAGGACCCGAAATGGTTCACAAAGTCGTTAGCTTGGCCCGAAATGATCGTGAAGCGTTCTTGAAACGGTCCCGAAATATTCCCTTACCAGTCCCAAAATAGTCTTGAAGTCGTCCAAAATGGCTCTGAACTAGAGATGGGCACGGGCCGGGCTTTTGGCAGGGGCCCGAGTTAGTCCACCCGAATTTCCTTACTTTTATACTAAGTAAAAAATAAAATACTTGTATACTTATTATTTAGTGCTATGAAAATAAGTAAATATTTACTATCATCTCGGTATTTAGTAACATCTAATATACTTCAATAAATAGTACTTTGATATTTAGTACAAAATAAATACCTGAATATTTTTGCACTTAGTATTTAGTAAATATAATTTTGCCCTTCACTGGCAGGTACCAATGGATCTCGCAAGCCTTACTCTTGGCAACCCCGATTTACCTGACAGTTTCCGTTGTGTGTCCCTATAATCCGCTTGGATCCACTTGGAAACTTCAAATAATCGGAATTTGCCAAATCATCAGCCAGTTCGCTGCCTTGAAGACAACCGTGATCTTTTCGCGAAAGACTGTCGCTTTGAAACAGAATAAACAGCTGGAATTGCCTTTCATCTATCTAGTTAGCTCCAGTTAAATTTTCTTCATTTTCGGTCTTGGCGCTGTCGGTGTAGGAAGTGTTTACCAAGTTTTAGGAAAGCTTTACGCGTACTAAATACCTTCAGGTATTAGTTTATCATTTGTGAAACCCAACGGGTATTTTTTCTAAAAATCTTCCAAATGCGTTGCTATGTTTGGAACTATGTATCCAAATTCTATCGATACATTTCTTGCTTTTGGTTCGCTAAATTCAGGAGTAACAAATCTGACTAAGTATTAGGAACCGTTTTTGCCGTTGCTCTCATAGCCACGGTTACCACTTACTTTTTTTGCGTGCTCGACTAAAATGCAGAAGGATTTTATAACTTTCTTAAACACAAAATATTGGCCCTGTTATGCGTGTTTAATTGGTTACATAAAGTTTGCATCTTTCCACCAGTTTTGAAAGAGTCCAAGGCCTTTAATGCTGTCTTACAGCGGGCCCAGAACTGCCACCCATCAGTGTAACAGAACTCTCTGTACATAAGTGTCACTTTCGGGAGTTATTACCATGTAAGGCTTGTTACATGGTTAATAATAAACAAGTAAGAGCAGCGCTGTCTTCGGCTATGCCGAAGGCTTCATACCTTTCATGAACATCTGCAAATTTTAGTTTGACAGATTACAGATTTTGAATACATCTGCATACATCGATAGAGGAGTTACATACTTATATAAAAAATCGCCTCTAAAAAATCAGAGGTATGGAGGATATACTTTATATGGCACCAATCTAAGTGATTTTCACTGCTATGTGATCGGTATGTAAACCGTAACACAATTTATTGGGTTTAGTTTCCTACATAAAGGAGATATATCGCAGAAACTGGTATCTGAACAATCAGTGCTATAGGAGATAAAGCTTATACAGCATAGATTTTGACGATTTTCTCAGTAGACTTTGTATTATTTATAAAATATCTTACGAAATTTATCGGTTTTAGCTGTTCAAATAAGAAGTTTTACAGTAAAATCCCATATCTGAACAATCAGATGTTTGGAAGATATATGTTGTAGTCACCGGATCCTTGTTATTTTCACTGTAAGTATTCTGTTAATAATGAGTGAAAATGGTGCGAAATTTCATGTTCCTAGCTGCATAAATGGAGGAGATATGATAAAAGACCTCATATCTGAACAATCAGTTGTATGGGGGCTGCAGGTTATAGTGACCCGATCTTCGTTATTTTCACTGTAAGTCTTCTGATAATGAGTGAAAGCAGCACGAAATTTCATGGTCCTAGCTACATAAATGGATGAATTATAACGAAAAATCTCATATCTGAACAATCAGTTGTATGGGGGCTATAGGTTATAGTTATCCGATCTTTTTAATTTTCACTGTAAGTTTTCTGTTGATAATTTTTGAAAACAGTGTGGAATTTCCTGTTCCCAGCTATATAAATGGAGGAGTTATAACGAAAAATTTTATATCTGAACAATCAGTTGTATGGGAGCTATAGGTTATAGTGACCCGATCTTTGTACTTTTCACTGTAAGCATTCTGTTGATAATGGGTGCAAGTGCTGCGAAATTCGTAGCTGCATAAATGGAGAAGTTATAACGAAAAATCTCATATCTGAACAATCGGTTGTATGGGAGCTATATGTTATAGTGGTCCGATTCTTCCGGTTCCAACAAATGATTAATACATTATAAAAATACACCCACCTACCAAATTTTATCCGGATATCTCGAAAACAGAGAGACTAGATTGCATACAAACAGACGGACATAGATAAATCAACTCAGCTCGACGTTCTGATCATATAAGTATACATTTTAATGGGTCTATCTCTTTTTGTTCTGGTACTTACAAACATCGGACCAAAGTTATAATACCATTTCATGCTCATGAAAGGTATAAAAACTGGTATTCTTGTTTCCATTTAGAAACATCCTAGGGGGTGAGTGCTTCTATGTCGCGTCTATTTTCGGACTATTGCGCAATGAACAGTATTGCCAAGTAAAATAAATAGAATGGATATGTATTTAACACGGTTGCTTTAGGAGGCAAAACAAAATAAATAACAAGTAATTTTTAGCAAAAAAAAACCGACTTCAACTCTCATAAAAAAAATATATATATATATATCTCATGATCCACTGATCGGATCTTAACCAGATTAGTATGGGACCACCTCTGAGACACTACCTTTCCGATGCAAAAAGAATTATCGGTTGACGTGGTCCAAAGTTATACATAAAAAAAAAAAAAAAAATTTTAAATATTTCGACGAACTGATAACCTCCTCCTTTTTTGGAAGTCGGTTAAAAAGTAAGTGCGCTTGGGCCACACTGTAGAAGTGAAACTTACGATTCTTATCTATCTATATATACACACATCTGCTTTTGCTTAAGGTTATATTTTTTCGCCTTTTTTCTATCAATGTAGATCCCTACCTCTACCAATGTTCGTTCTAATAACATTCATGTTATTCTGTTTTTCCATTATCTTCATTTCTATCTTCATACTCTATCGATGGACGTTATATCAAAATATCGATAACAAAATCGATGACAAATTCCATAAAAATTTCAATAGCAACATCGATAATACCATTGGTAGCTAAATCGATTAGAAAACCAATAAAAATATCGATAACAAAATCGATAAATATCGATATCAAAATCGATAAATATCGATAACAAAATCGATAAATATCGATAACAAAATCGATAAAGATCGATAACAAAATCGTTAACAATATGGGTAAATATCGATAACAGAATCGATAAGTATCGAAAACAAAATCGATAAATATCGATAACAAAATGGATAAATATCGATAACATAATCGATAAATGTCGATAACAAAATCGATAACAAAATCGATAAGTATCGCTAACAAAGTCGATAAATAACGATAACAAAAACGATAAATATCGAAACAAAATCGATAAATATCGATTACAAAATCGATAGCAAAATCGATAACAAAATCGATAAGAATCGATAACAAAACAAATAAATATCGATAACAAAATCGATAACAAAATCGCTAAACATCGCAAACAAAGTGGATAAATATCGAGAACAAAATCGATAAGAATCGATAACAAAATCGATGAATATCGATAACAAA